TATATATATATATATGCTTATATGTTTGTATATACATACACAAAGACGTCAAACCCGACAACAACTACAGAATGCCTGCAAACAGGCCTTGCTCGCATTTGTTTGTTTTCGCTTCTTTCGTGTGAATGGGTCTCGGGCTCAGGGCTTGCCGACGCCTCAAGTTTTCAGGCCCGCCTCATCGGCAACATAGAAATCCGGCACGGTTGAAGCTCGCCCTGTCTGGGGAAGTTGTCAAATCCTTGACAACCAAATGGATGAACTCAAACAGCAAGCAGGATTTCCTCCGTCCACACGCATCGGCTGGCCATAACGGCCACAAAGCGCACTGCACACTTCGAACTCGAGTTTATGTATTTTCGTCGTCACCGGCTTCATTTCCGTGTTCGTGTGGCTATTGTCTAGCTGCGTCCATTTCCGCTATTGTCGGCCTCTATGCGGGCTGCCGGACTGATGTATGTCCTATTTCCGACTTCGTTTTTGGCTGCATACAGGTCAGGCAACTCATGTGTTTTCGTCAGTTCCCGACTTTATTTATGTGTTAGTCTCGCTTGGCATGTCGAATTAGGTCTCAGTCATTTCCGGCATCGCTTTTATTGCGGGATAGATGCATTTCTGACTTCGTTTGTTTTCGCGTTCGTGCAGCTTATTTTCGGTTTCAATTTTGGCTGTACAATTGATGCACGTTCGTCGTTTCTCGCTACATTTCAGTCTGAGTTCGAAAGCTCATGTGTTTCCGCCATGTTCGCCTACATTTCCGTGTTCGTGCCAGCTATTTCCGGCTTCTTTTAGGGCTCGGGACTTGATGATAAATTGCACCACTTTCGATTTCTCTTCGCGTTCGTGTTGACTTTTCCAGATTCATGTGAGAATGCATGGCTGATGCATTTCCGTCACTTCCCGCTTCATATCTGTATTCGTATTGCTTGTTGCATGACTGTTGCATTTCCGGATCACTTTCGCTTTTGTCTTATTCATGTCCGGCTTCATTTCAGCGCGCGGAAGTGATCTTTGTCTTTTCGGTTCTGACTTCATGTCCGTTTTCTTTTCCGCGTTCGTGTCACATGTTCGTCACAGGTAATTCCGGCTTCGTTTCCCGCTGCAAGGAGTTTTGCTTGTTTTACGTGTTCGCATCGATGATGTTCGGCGCGTTGTTTACTTGGCATCTTGCCTGCAAGATTGGTGCATTGCGCCATTTTCGAAGTCAGCCCCGTGTTCGCACAAGATATTGCAACCCTCAGTTTAGGCTGCAGAACTGATGCATTTCTGCCATTTCCGGCTTTGTTTCCGTGCTTGCAGCAGCTCTTCCTGGCGTCATGTTAAATTTTGAGATGCAGAATGGATGCAATTTCCTCCACTTTCTCTGTTGAATTTCCAGGTTTGCATTGTAACCGTTGCTGCAAAATTGTTGTATTTTCGGAGCGAATGCTGATGTGCTCTCAGTCATTCCGTCTCTGTCTCGCTTGTGCACCATATAGTGGCACCGAATCAACATGCCTAGCTTTATTGCATTTGGATGCCGGCAGAAGTTGAGGCGATCGCCCGACTGGTTCGAGGATTGGGAAGCGGACCCAGTTTGGCAGTTTCGGGCGCTGACGAATCGCTGAATGCTCATAGAAACACCGAGATGGCATTCCCAAGCCCCTAAACGCCTGTGGAATGAAGACTTTTGCAGCCCGGTTGGTGACGCATGAAACTCTGTGTGCAAGCTCAAGCCAGGAGCGAACTTGCTGGGACTTCTCTCCACAAAACGCCATGCACATCGGAGCCAGAGCTCTCAGCCGCGATGAAGCGACTAATGTCTTAGAGATGCTCGTGTAACGGGCAATCGGATTTATCGCTGCTTTCCCAGAGTTCTGTTCGTGGCCCGTTTGCACTGAGAAGAGAGGCACAATGTCGTGCTCATCACGTGAAGCTTTCCTGCCATAGAGATTCTCGATTCCTGCGCTGAATCCAGCGGTACCGTTCAAAGGGCGTCGGTTAAACACAGGTGTGCGGCCTTGCGAATCCAGAACAAGCGCTTCATATCACGGCATGAACCCCTCCAGAAAGAACAGCACTGAGTGAGTGAGCGATTGAGTGAGTCAGTGACTGTGTGAGTGTCGACCTGAGAACGGAGAAGGGGCCGGCAGCAACAGTGGGGCAAACACATGCAACAACAGTTTCAGTAAAGTTCCTTGTGGCTGGTCAGACTCAACCGGTGGGTTGCTTGGGACGACGCTTGGCGTCGACGACCACACCACATCTTCGGAAGCCCGTACAGCACAAATTCTGCAGAACTTGGCTGGAGCTCTATAAGCCCAGAGAAGGACAGCTGTCGCTTCTGAGGCGTCTTAGCCTTTTGGCTATAGTCGCTGAGTTGTCTCGTCTCCGGTGTTTTTGCTTTGTGCATGTGATTTGATCTGCTTCCCGTGCCCGGCCACCCAGCTCAAGCGAATCGTTAAGGTCGAACTCGCCCGGCGAAGCCGCGAGGGTTCGGCTCGGCGAGTGCAATCCCTGGATGCAGGCCTGGGGTCCAAGGTTCAAGTGTTCAAGGATTGAGAGCTTGGGCCGTGGGATGTCGGAATTTCCGATTCACACATGGCATGGTGTTGAGCCATTTGGGCGCTTGAAGCTGGAAACTTCCGGGTTTGCGGCTGGATGTTAGGGTCGGGATAACTACACCAGACAGCTTGAGATGTCTTAATTGTGTGTGTCGGTCGCTACTCGCTAAGTACTCGTAGGGTTGCAGCAACAGCTTAGTCATTTGGCCTTGTGCATTGTCTACAATCGGCCTTCGGTGTGGCCCGGCAATCCACGAGCTCGGCAGAATCAACAGTCCACGGGACCCTTGCGGAAGCACGACCTCGAAGGCCCCACAACCTCCTCTGCATGGTGTAGTCAGGAAGGACGAGTCAGAAAGGATCCTGAGGGATACAGAATCGAGAATTGGCGCATGCCTAAACTAAACACCTGCCAAGTCATAGCCCTGAGAGGCCGTCCCGGACGTGGCAACATAGCGCCTGCTGAACGAAAGCAGGCAGACCCACATGTTCAATGTTCGCCACGAAATACCAGTCGGAAGTTATGAAATCGCAGGCATTTCGCTGTAGTTTTGCGGTTGCGGCGTGTCTAGAAGCCGAGAAACACTGCCTGCCTCACCAGGATGTGGCGGCATTGGTTCATGTTGACTCATGCTTTCGATGTTGCAAATGGATTCCTTTTTGTGCCGTGTTGCAACACGAAGCAGGCTCCACTTGCAAGCCTCCGAGATCTGGAGGGACAGCTTGGGAATGCTGTTCCGAAGATGGTGCCGACGCCGTCGTCCACCACGAGGGTGCTGGTGCATGTGGGCTATATGACCAATGCGCACCAACGACAACAAAGACAACGTGTCAGTTTCTGCTGAATGGCGAAAATGTTCTTAGCATGTGGCTGGCACTGCGGATGTGCCGGAGCCCTGTCCGTCCCATCCTTCGACGGGGTTCTTCTCATACGCACCACCAAGCCGGATGCGGCTAGTTCACATGCTGTTGCAGATCGTCACGACTGAGCACAACTAGCTCATTCCGTCAAGAGAACCTCGACTTGATGAGGATCTGAAGCTTGCTGAAAAATGTCTATTTCGCTGGCCTTAGGCTACTCATGCAAACACGTAGTCGTCTGTTTATGTCAGCTTCAAGCGAAGTTCGGAAGCCGGTTCTAGGGTCAGGGGAAGATTAAGATAGATCGTAGTTGTCATAAGGACACGACTTTTGTAATCAAACCTTCCAGCACATGTGACAGCATGGGGCAAATGCTAGCGGGAAGAAGACTTGGCTTGACAGGACGGGTCAGTCTTCAGACCTCGACCAAGAGCCAGAGGCCCCAAGTCCCCAGGGTCAGGGCCTCCCTGCTCAAGGCAAACCTGGCCTCGCGACTCGCTGGTTTGCGACCCAGGCTGCCAGCATTTCAAGCGGCTGGTGGCTGACAGTGAGGGATCTTTGCGTCCGGGTAGGCACTCCTCCATATATACATATATATATATATACATATATCAGGTGCTTATTTTAAGAGTCTTCCATGTGAAACCCAGTGCGCGAGTCTATGGCCATACAAAAGTCCTTGAACCCTAAAGGGCCACTGAACCTCAAAGCGCCCAAACTCCTAGACCTGATCCTTAGACACTTCTCCGATGTGCAGCCCTGTGGCCGCAAAGGTGTTAGCCGGCCCGCTGCCGCCGGGACGCCCAAGGTTTCGCTGCCTGCAGACAGCTGACAGCTTTCACTCGAGTTTAAGTCTAAAGATTCTCATGCAGTCAGGCCTCAGGTGAAATGCCAAAGATCGGGTCTGCACCCGAAGCTTCGGTTTGAAGAGGTGTGACCATAGTTCGAAATAGAACGCTAGCAGCAATTAGCAAGCGGCAGCTATGACCAGGCCGAGGAATCGGAGATGCACTCGCACACACGCATGCAGGCAAATCGTGGCATAGCCTAGTCCTTCCGGCCGTCCGTCTGTCTGTTTGTTTGCAGTTGGGTTTCGAGCGTACATGCATCCACTTACACTCACCACCCCTTACACGCTTTGTTCTCGTGCATGCATGTCTTCAACATACGTTAAGTTTTGTCCCACCCATACAATTTGAGAGGAGAAGATGTGACCAATAGGGTAAGGCCAAGACACATGTTTAAGGAGGCAAGCAATTCAGGTTCGCGTGCTTGGATATGCCCTTGAAACAAGGCCGACTCACCATCGATGGTCCGTCTGCAGCTGAGGGCTTCGTCCATGTGGTCTCCACATATCGGACACAGCAGCACTGCGTGATGAGTCTAGGACGGCAAGTCTCGAGGGGGACGATGTTTCGGTTTCGAACACTCCAACTGTGGCTTTCACTGTTGAATCCAACAAACACCGCTCCTCCCACACGTGGAAAATCCAAAGTTGTGGGGCTGAAATTCAAGGCGAAGAATCCTTGCTGGACGCAGTCCAGGGGAATGTCCAACATGCATCAGCTAGCTTTGTAAGCGGTCGAACTGTAGCATCTTGCTGCTCATGCCCCAGGGTTTGAAAATTGAAGGATCGTGAAGTCTTCGTCCGAGGTTGCCAAGGCCTCCTCTGACAAAACCCTCCTGCCATGCTTCAGTGCGGCAATGAGCCCTTGCTCCAGGAACTGGCGATCTTTCTCCAGCCGCCCGGCCGACGCCCTAACAGGTTTAGGCTTTAGCTTTATAGGACTCCGGACCTATGACACTATCAGACTATCAGGACATGCCAGCACGTGTGAATATCTATCGAAGGTGGTGCAAATCACAATAGGCATGCTGGATTTGCAAGAGCTTTCTTTGTGTGTTGAGTTCCGTGCATGCTGGCTGCACGTTGTCAACACATCTGACGTCCTTGTCAGACATCTCCCCACCTTGGCCTTCCTTGTCGGACCATTTACCTGTGTGAGCCCTCATGGCCCCAACGACAGATAGCATTCTCAGGCAGCGGAAGTTGTATGCCGGGCCGCCGCACTGACTCTTAAGACTCGGGAGTTGGGGCCCCGTTTGGTGATGTGCTCAAACTGGTTTTGGGGGGTTTTGCTTTGGCAGCCATCACGCCGACCGCGCCCGAGGTCAGCGCTTTCCGTCCTTACCCCGAACTCCGCGCGGGAGCGAAAGTTCAAGGATTGCTTGGCTGAGCCCACACAACATCTTGATCCAGTGCTTCTTGCGTGGCCTCGGGACATGCAGGTATATAATGTCATTCAACTTTTCAGAGATTCTGTTGCACGGTCTGTAGTAATTAGGGCGACATTCGGGCAGGACGTTATGTATATGTCTATCTGTATACTATCTGTCTGTCTAGCTGGCTTCTATCTGTCTGTCTGGTTGTCTGTCTATCTGTCTATCTATCTCTTTGTTTGTGTGTCTGTCTATTTGTCTGCTTCTTGTCTCTGTGTGTGTGTGTCAGCGATGAGTGTGATTAGCCATCCTACACGGGTTAACCACGGCGGAAAACTCACCAGCTTCTCTTCCATGCCGGACCCGCGTTAGACTCACTCAATCACACATTGAAGCTTTCCGAAGCACCTTTGAAACACTTGTCGCACATGATGCCTGATGAATTTGCCATTGACCATGAACCTCTGTTGGGCAGGAGCTTCACAGCTCAGCCAAGCTGATCTGAAATCTACCGGCCTTGGAGTTTTGGAACCTGTGGGACACCAACCCTTCGGTGTTGCCGTGTTCTTCGGTGCATTGGGATGCACGTGGGAGTACAATGTCCGAACCAACATCGGGAGATGGGTTTGCAGCTTTCCGCAGCTCTGGGCCAGTGGAATCGATTCAAGCCTGCAGGCAGAAAACATCCGACCCTGCTCCATTTACCTGGCGCTCATCCCGAACTGTTGTGCGAAGCTGGATTCGGGTCCTACTGTACCTGAATATCCTTAGAAGAGCCATGGATGAGGATTCGGATGGAATTGGCCAAGTTTGACCCATAGGAACAAGAAGCTTAGGAAAGGCTTCCGCGCCACTCGAGCATACAGATAGTATTTAGAAAATAAATAAAGATCAATAAACAAAAAAAAAAATATATATATATATATAATGTTAAATATGAGTTGCTATGTGCTGCACCTGGGCTGAGCATTTCGTTGCAGACTGCATGACTACTACCGACCACGGCCGCCAAAGTCACCACCAGCACCATCAGCACCACCAGCACGACCACCAGCACCACCAGCACCATCAGCACCAGCAGCATCAGCACCAGCAGCAGCAGCACCACCACCAGCAACAGCAGCACCACCACCGCCAGCAACAGCAGCACCGCCGCCACCAGCAATAGCACCACCGCCACCGCCGCCACCGCCACCACCACCACCACCACCACCACCACCACCACCACCACCACCACCACCACCACCACCACCACTGCCACCACCGCTACCACCGCTACCACCGCCACCAGCACTGCCAGCGCCACTTCCACTACCACTGCTGCCACCACCACCACCGCCACCACCGCCGCCACCACTACCACTGTCACGCCAGCGTGCGCATGAGAGTTGTGGTGCGAAGAGCAGGGGTCAACCTCCTTGCAGCGTACTATACAACCATCAAGTCGAATGCAAGCACCACAGCCTCGGAATCGAGCCTAGGAGCAGTTAACAATCCACTTCGCTTGAATGCTTTCTGGCTCCCAGCGACCATGCCTAAACATGGAAGCTCTGCAGCGCGTGGCGTTGGCCCTGGACGTCCATAACGGAAAGCAGAGCCGGCTGCTGGAAGAACTTCAAGCTGCGTCCGTTCCAGAAAGAGCACACATGGTTACGTAACGAGGAATGCCGAAGCAACATGCCTCAATGTCGAGCTTAGTCAGATGGCTCCAGGTCGCAAGCGACCGGCGCAGCTTCCCAGCCAAAGTGCTTATGTTTGTGTCAGCATGCTTCGGCTCATGACCAGGGCGACCGTGGCTGCAGTGCAACGGAACACCTCACTTGTAGCTTCGACGGCCTTTGATCTCAACGTTCCGGACACGCCGGCATGGGACAACAGCCATGAAGCAGCTCTGGGGTTAGTTAACAGCATGGATGCTATCTTCCCGGTGGCTTGGGAAAGCCACGCCACAACCCAGGCACATGCACGAACAAGGTACTACGAGCTGAGGGGCTAAGAGCAGACATATCATATGAATGCATAATCCCGCTTCTGACAGTCTGCCACACCTAAGACCTAAGTCTTTCATGCCAGGAGATGATCTTTTTCAGATGGAACATTCTGGAGCTGCTGGGCGCCTGGATGGACTTTGGAGGGCAGTGGATTGATCACCTGCCTACTTTCACCTCCCGTTTGGTATGGCAGTTCCGATTCTTTCCAAAGCATTTTTCCGTGTTTTCGTGTAAGGGAAGGCACATATGAATCCGCTTAGCTCGTGGCTTGCCCTCAAGCCCAAGGTTTTACTGCTGTTCGCTTCCTATACGCGTGTACATTCTGGGCATCCACCGGATCTTGTGGCCGATGCTCTACCGGGGCCTCGCAAAGAAGTGTGCGGTCGCAGAGCCGTACCAACAGATTCTGGCGCAGGATGCAGACCTCACCCACTTCAGCACGCATACTTTGGTCGGGCGGGTCTCGCGGCTGCAGTCTTTGAAAGCTTGTGATCGGGAATGCTTTCTGGACTTGTCTTGTGCTTTCGCTGCGCTGGCGCTGCAAGCGGGTCAGAGGAAGCAAGAAGGCGATATGTACCGATATCTGTCCGAAGTCCAAGCGATGATTCAGTCAGCTTTCTGTGAGACCCTGCACGACTGCATGCGCACGCCTCCAGCGGCAGAGCTTCTGCGTACCACCGGTGGCTTCTTGCACTTGATATCTGAGCTGCCTCTGGTCAGAGCCAGACAAGCGCATCTCCTGATTGACAGCACCGACGCAATGCAGCGCACCGACTTTGAGCAGTTTCCGATAGCCACACCGCAGACGATTCAAGAGGACCCCAAACCGGTTGTGCCAAGCTCTACCGACGAGGTTGAGGCCCAATGTATAGACAAAAAAGACATGGACTCTATAAGTCCCGCGAGAGTCTTGAAACTCTACAGCATGCTGAATACAGTGGGCCAAGTCCTTTCCAAGTTTGGTGTAGACTGGTTTGTATCACACGGCACGCTTCTGGGCGCAATCCGGCATGGAGGCCAGATCCCACATGACTGTGATCTGGATTTGTCCATGTTCTCCTGGGATATTCACAAGATGCGCAATGCATCTTTGATGCTGGCTCTGCAGCGGAACGGCTACTTTGTGGATTATTTGCCGGTGCAGCATTTGATTACAATTTGGCGCGGCACGAGGCACTCGGAGATCGCGACTCGTGGTGTGCGTGCTGTCAACCACTTGAACATCTACACGCCTGTGTTACACATCTTTGTGCTCTTCGACTTTCAGGAAGCAGGACAGTGGCAGTATGATACTGACAGGCTGAAACACACTGGCTGGCAGATGTCACAGCAGGAGTTGCTTCCCTTGAAGTCACACTCTTTCGGGGAGTCTCTGGTTCCAGTCCCAGCCCGACCAGAAATCTATCTGGATCGAATGTACGGCCCGGATTGGCGCCTTACTGTCCGCTCCATGACAGCACTGAAGGCTTATGACTATTACCCGCCAACGGCACTGACCAGTGCCGGCCCCGCCCAGCCGACCGGGCCGTTGGAGAACGTTATCGACTGAGGGACTGGGCTCTTCCATCGGCGGTGAACCCCAACTTTGAGATGTAGCTGCGGCTCTACACTTCCAGAAACTGCGATGCACTCTTGCGGGTTCCTTCGAACATTTCGCAGACAGTTCGACGCATGGCCCATCCACTCCTTGGCGACCGTCGGCAAAGCGAAATACTGACATGACAAGGTGCGTGTGGAGCATCAACAGAGTCAAAGCGCAACCGCACACGTCTATAGAAAAGTCGGCAGTTTTCTTGTTGACAATCTTCTTATTGTTGCGAAGGAGGCTTCTCATGGCTGGCCTTCGCTGCAGGTCTCCCGCGAGCTCTATGACCAGACTAACACGTGCTCACGGAGATCGTTTCACTTTGTGTGGCAATCGGCCTAACCTGGTGAAGATGCCATGAATACGATTCTCAGTTGGAACCCTTGCTTGAGCAAAACACGCATGCTCGAGTCCGTCTAACATGATCTTGGGTTTGTTTGCTGCTGAAGCCGGCGGCAGGCTCCTGACTTCTCGTGGGTATTTGATGTAGCTAATAATATGATCCCGGGCGATCCACGAGAGCCAGTATGTCAGTTTATGCCAGATATTACGGTTCAGAGGTGATTTTCGGCTCCGAACTGCACCTCCAGACGGGGTGATGACAGTGGGCTTTGCGTACAGACGCAAGCAGGGAGAGGGAGAGAGAGTGACAGGGAGACGCAATCTTTGCGTGCGTGTGTGTCTGTGTGTGTGTGTGTGTGATGTGCAGGTCGTTAAGACGCCATACAGAGAAGCAGTTGGCACAAGCTATTTGGGAAAGGAGGACTGTTCACCTCCGTGTACCTGCGAAGCAACATCCAAGGTATCCGGCACAAGCGTCCTCCACGCGTATTGATGCTTCCCGCTGTCTGACATGAAGGAAGATCTACTTTCACGACGGTATGTAGTCCAAAGAGTCCAGTACGGTTTTGATTGCACAGGGCACAGGGCTTGTACATGTCGGACATGAGTGTGCACTTGCCACCGTCGGTATGTATCACTTGCAAGTTTGGCACGGTGCTTGGCACTGGTAACCATGCATGCTGAGCTGAGCACAGTCTTGGTTGCCAACCATCAGCCCCCTTTCATCAAATCCTCAACAAGATCCATGCGGCCGACTTTCAACTTGGTCTTCGTGTGGCAAAGTATGCTACCTCAACTACATGATCGCTTTGGTGCATAATTGCAGCAGCTCGATTGTGAGAGGGGGAGACTTGACAACGGGCGGGTTGTTTTGCATGGCCTGATTTGTCCCGATTGATTACACGCATTGGCAGTGTGCAGCCGTAGGCCCCGAGGCAGCAACGGTGAGTCTGCATCCGAGGAGCAAATCACAGACACCTCGGTCTGCCACAGTCATGTTGTTCATTCTTCGTGTTTTCGGAAAAGCGAACTGCTTCAAACCCCCGAATCCTGGAGAGATGCTTGCAACTTCAAGCCCTTGATGACACTGACTGATTTTTAACAAGCTGGCACGGCACACCATAAGCAGCACCTCCCGGAAGCCTGTGAGTAGTCGTGTTCGGCCAAGCCGCCGATCCAAGCGCAGGGAGCCTGGCTTTGGAATAGGATCCAAACACCCGAAGTCTTGCAGAGTCGCTTGGACTCAAAAGCCGGAAGACCGCATCTGGTCTCAACAGATTTGCTCACCTGCGACTTGAGAGCCTTCCAGACACGTCTGCGCGGCACCCCGCAGCGCTGTTGTTTGGATTCTTGACTTCACGTCTGGATTGCGAGCAGAAACCAGCAGCTCGCAGAGAGGTTTCAACAAGCCACAGTCCCACTGTTTAGCCGCTGGCTTCTAAACTGCAAACGCTGCGCAGCCTTAGCTAAGCACCCTGCATGGCCCTACATTCAAACATCCAATGACACCATGGTATTCATCGCTCTGACATCTGCACTCCCACATGGGACGTTCCTAATTTTTTTAATAGGCATCAAAAAAACTAACGAGGCATCAAAAAAATTGAATAGGCATCAAAAAACTGACAGAAAGCCAGAAAGACATAACGAAAGAAAGAAAGAAAGAAAGAAAGAAAGGAAGAAAGGAGGAAAGACAGAAAGAAAGAAATAAAGACAGAAATAAAGACAGAAAGAACGAGACAAAGAAAGAACGAATGAAATAAATAAAGAAAGACAAAGAAAAACACAGCAAGACAGAAAGAAGAAAGCAACAAATCAATAAAGAAAGAGGAAAGCGAGCAAGAACGAAGGAAAGAATGAAAGAGGAAAGAGAGAAATAAAGAAATAAAGAGAGACAAGAGAAAGAAATAACGAATGAAAGAAGGAAGGAAGGACATTAATAAATATAGAAATAAAGAACAAAAAACAGAAAGACTGACCGAAAGAAAGACATAAAGACAGACATAGGGGAAGGACGCAAGGAAGAACGAAACAGACTTAAAAATAAGAACCAAGTAAACATAATAGTGAACCGAAGCAATAAAAAGCAAACGCCACCCAAACAGCAAAGTAATTAAGACAAAAGCGCAAGTACAAAAAGATGGAAGAAGGAATAGCGAAAGGAAGCGCAAGAAAGAATGCCACGCAATTCGAGAGGGAAATAAAAGCAACATCATCAAAAATAAATGCTAAAAGCAAAAAACCGGGAAAGAACAAACAAGAAAAGCAACTAGAACGTAAAAGATCAACAACGACAATGAAAGCAAGAAAACAACAACAACGACAACAACAACAACACAACAAGACATCCACATTGCGGTGTCGCGAGCTTGTCGGAGCGCAGCATACTATCAGACACCTTTCTGTTTATGACCGTTGCACATAGGGCGGTGGGCGGCGCCCTTCCAACCCCCCAACCCCAAACACCCCCGCTTCTTCAGACCGTGCAAGCTCGCGTCAACCAAGGGCCTGTCACAAGAAGAGCATGAACCCATATGGACCCGTTCGGAATTGTGTTTGCACCTGGGGGGTTGGGGGGGCGTCAGATCATAATCTCAGCTAACCTTTCTGTCTGTAAACCTTGCAAATAGAGCCGTATGCTACGTAACGGAGCCGGGCCTAGCATGCATAAGACCGAGCGTCCTTACGGAGCCGTATACATCGCCCACTTCCAAGCTGTTGCACCGGCGACGTGACGGAAGCAGCCGAGGAGTCGCATCGCTAATCGGGTGTTTACATTTGTTGCTGCAGAGCGATGTTGCTTTTCTCAATGCTGCAGGCTTACTAGGAAGTAACATGTCTGACGACGGTTTATCCTACGCCACGTTCACTAGTGATGGGTGAACAATCAGAAATGTAGGGTCGAGGGTTTTGTCTTCAAAGTTCTGGCGGTTCAAGCATGAAGGTTTCCTCAGCAAAATTGGGTCGAAAGGGAAATGTTGCTGAAACATGTCAAGGCTTGCCCTAGTAAGCGACGACTGCAGCTGCTTTCCAAGCTACCACGCCGCCAACGCACGAAGCGGCCGCGCGTGGAAGCGCATTCTCAGGTGAAATTGGTCGGATGCCAGAAATGTGTCCATGTAGTCAATGCTTCTTAAATCTGACAGGAAGCTATAATGTTCCCGTGCAATCCCATCTAACTGTATCCTTCTTTACCAAGCAACCCGTTCCAAATACGAAGTCCGATGTACCGCATACCCTATGAAATTGTTAAGGCTTAGTTTGGTGCTTAAGTTTTTTTGATGCTTATTTTAGTGCTTAAGTGTTTTTGATGCTTATTTAAAGTTTTTGAATCTACTGTTTCGTTTTTTTGATGCCTGTGTAATTTTTTGATGCCTCACCCCTCCCATATTGGTGTGCAGACTTGGGTTGAAAGAATCGGCCTCACAGCCGGCGTGCCCGAGGCAAGGCAGCGTCTTGAGTCTGCAAGTCATGCAGTCTCGCCTGCCAGTCTTGAACTTGTATCGCTTTGGGATCGGGAATTTGCTTTTCATGATGTAGACGAGCTTGTTTGCTCGTGGTAGATTCGCAGCCCAGATGCTTCCACCTAAACTCCGGACTGGGCGCGCTGCTTTTGCTTGCTGGGCGGGGTGAAGGGGAGAGGTCGAAGCAATTGCCTGGGAGTGTTTTGGAGTTGAAGCTTTGCGAGCACTGGATCTAGCTCTGCTCTATTTCGGCCACCATGTACACACCTACATTCCAACATCCCATTTTCGCATAAGCTCAGCCTCATGCCAGGCAGCCACCCGTGTGGGCCCACAGGCCGGGCTGTCAGCATGCTTGTCAGGGTTTCGGTCAAACCGGTTTCGGACTGATGACGACTTTAGCACTTGTTCTGTGGGCGTTGGCTGTCAGTTTGCTAGAACGACTGTCCCAAGTAGAAGAACTAACATGGTTCAAGCCATGATGGCAGTTGTGATCCTTAACGATTGTTCTCTTCAGGAAGGGCTTGGGCAACAATCGAAGAGGTTTGGATCTCGCCTTCAGGAAGTGGATGACTGTGAGTAGCTATTAACAAGGGTTCCAATTGCAGCAGGTACAACGGCCTGCTTCAAAAACAACAGGCATCTATCTTTGCCAAAGCACGATCAGCCCAACTGCATCTCACACAACACCCCATTGCCAGGTCTCCACAGGATCACGGTAGAGGCATGGTCGCCGGGCATGTGGCACACGCCTCGAGCAGGTGCCACAGAAAACGCCAGGGCTTTGTGTGAGGTTTTGCCTTTGGACGACCCAGTAATGGTTGATGGGCGGATTTGGGCTTCAGCTCAGGGTTGTCCAGCTGCTCAGCTTTGATCGGTTTAACTTGCAGAGACTACCGCAGCCGATCGAAAAGTGGTTTGCTGAAGAGCATGGGCAGTTTGCATCTAGATACTGACCAGAGCCAGCACAACCATTCGTACGAGCCAGTACAAGCACACGTACGTACGTCCGCAGCAGCATCCAAAAGTAGCACAACGACGAGCAAACAAAAATCGGCTGCAACAGCAATGCTAAGAGCAAGAAGCTTTAGTTTCCGTGCTTGTCGTCCTCGTGATCTTGGTAGAAGGAGTAGCAACAGTGACTTACAGTACTAGTGGTTGCAGTAGCTTGTAGCAGTAGGCGTATTCGTGCCAGAGTACGAGCACTAGTGACTCACTAGTGGCAGTGGTAGGAGAAGTGGTGGTGGTAGTCGTGGCAGCAGCAGCAGGGTGGTGGTGGTGGTGGTGGTGGTGGTGGTGGTGGTGGTGGTGGTGGTGGTGGTAGGTGGTGGTGGCAGCAGAAGTAGTAGTAGTAGTAGTAGCAGCAGCAGCAGCAGCAGCAGCAGCAGCAGCAGCAG